GACAAGCCGCCCTCAGGCTAGCAGAGACACACCACACTGGGGGACAAGCCGCCCTCAGAAGGGCGGCCAGGACTTCCAGGAGCTGACACGAGGGCAGCAGGATGCCAGTATCAATGCAAAGCACTGTACACAGGTACACACAGAGCACACACACACAGTGCACTTACAGTGCACTCGCACTCAGAGCATGTACACACACACTACAGTGCACACTCACACCGTGCACACTCACACTGTGCACACTCACACAGTGCATACTGTACTCACACAGTGCAATTACAGTGCACTCGCACTCAGAGCATGCACACACATGGTACACACACAATACACAGTGCACACATCACACTCAGTGTACACTCTGCACATTCAGTGCATTTACACAATGCACAGTGCACTCACACCCACAGTGCATATACACACATGATACACACTCACACAATGCACAGTGCATTTGCACTCACAGTGCATTCACACACAATACACACACGGTACACACTGCACACTCAGTGTATTTGCACAGTGCACTCACACCCACAGTGCAGATACACACGTCACACAGCACACCAGTGCACTCACTCACAGTGCATACACACGTACACAGTACACACAGTGCACTCACTCACAGTGCATACACACGTCACACAGTACACACAGTGCACTCACTCACAGTGCATACACACATACACAGTACACACAGTGCACTCACTCACAGTGCATACACACGTACACAGCACACACAGTGCACTCACTCACAGTGCATACACACGTACACAGTACACACAGTGCACTCACTCACAGTGCATACACACGTCACACAGCACACACAGTGCACTCACTCACAGTGCATACACACGTCACACAGCACACACAGTGCACTCACTCACAGTGCATACACACGTCACACAGCACACACAGTGCACTCACTCACAGTGCATACACACGTCACACAGCACACACAGTGCACTCACAGTGATACACACGTCACACAGTACACACAGTGCACTCTCACAGTGCATACACACGTCACACAGCACACACAGTGCACTCACTCACAGTGCATACACACGTACACAGCACACACAGTGCACTCACTCACAGTGCATACACACGTACACAGCACACACAGTGCACTCACTCACAGTGCATACACACGTCACACAGCACACACAGTGCACTTGCAGTGCAGATACACACATGCTACACACACGGTACATTTACACAGCACACACAGTGCACTCACTCACAGTGCATACACACGTCACACAGCACACACAGTGCACTCACTCACAGTGCATACACGCGTACACAGTACACACAGTGCACTCACTCACAGTGCATACACACGTCACACAGCACACACAGTGCACTCACTCACAGTGCATACACACGTACACAGCACACACAGTGCACTCACTCAGTGCATACACACGTCACACAGTACACACAGTGCACTCACTCACAGTGCATACACACGTACACAGTACACACAGTGCACTCACTCACAGTGCATACACGCGTCACCACAGCACACACAGTGCACTCACTCAGTGCATACACACGTCACACAGTACACACAGTGCACTCACTCAGTGCATACACACGTACACAGTACACACAGTGCACTCACTCACAGTGCATACACACGTCACACAGTACACACAGTGCACTCACTCACAGTGCATACACACGTCACACAGCACACACAGTGCACTCACTCACAGTGCATACACACGTACACAGTACACACAGTGCACTCACTCACAGTGCATACACACGTACACAGCACACACAGTGCACTCACTCACAGTGCATACACACGTACACAGCACACACAGTGCACTCACTCACATGCATACACGCGTCACACAGTACACACAGTGCACTCACTCACAGTGCATACACACGTACACAGTACACACAGTGCACTCACTCACAGTGCATACACACGTCACACAGTACACACAGTGCACTCTCACAGTGCATACACACGTCACACAGCACACACAGTGCACTCACTCACAGTGCATACACACGTCACACAGCACACACAGTGCACTCACTCACAGTGCATACACACGTACACAGTACACACAGTGCACTCACTCACAGTGCATACACACGTCACACAGTACACACAGTGCACTCACTCACAGTGCATACACACGTCACACAGTACACACAGTGCACTCACTCACAGTGCATACACACGTACACAGCACACACAGTGCACTCACTCACAGTGCATACACACGTCACCACAGTACACACAGTGCACTCACTCACAGTGCATACACACGTCACACAGTACACACAGTGCACTCACTCACAGTGCATACACACGTACACAGCACACACAGTGCACTCACTCACAGTGCTACACACGTCACACAGTACACACAGTGCACTCACTCACAGTGCATACACACGTTCACACAGTACACACAGTGCACTCACTCACAGTGCATACACACGTACACAGCACACACAGTGCACTCACTCACAGTGCATACACACGTACACAGTACACACAGTGCACTCACAGTGCATACACACGTACACAGTACACACAGTGCACTCACAGTGCATACACACGTCACACAGTACACACAGTGCACTCACTCACAGTGCATACACGCGTCACACCGCACACCACAGTGCACTCACAGTGCATACACACGTCACACAGTACACACAGTGCACTCACACCCACAGTGCATACACACGTACACAGTACCACACAGTGCACTCACTCACAGTGCATACACACGTCACACAGTACACACAGTGCACTCACAGTGCATACACACGTCACACAGTACACACAGTGCACTCACAGTGCATACACACGTCACACAGTACACACAGTGCACTCACTCACAGTGCATACACACGTACACAGCACACACAGTGCACTCACTCACATGCATACACGCGTCACACAGTACACACAGTGCACTCACTCACAGTGCATACACCACGTACACAGTACACACAGTGCACTCACTCACAGTGCATACACACGTCACACAGTACACACAGTGCACTCTCTCACAGTGCATACACACGTCACACAGCACACACAGTGCACTCACTCACAGTGCATACACACGTCACACAGCACACACAGTGCACTCACTCACAGTGCATACACACGTACACAGTACACACAGTGCACTCACTCACAGTGCATACACACGTCACCACAGCACACACAGTGCACTCTCACAGTGCATACACACGTACACAGCACACACAGTGCACTCACTCACAGTGCATACACACGTACACAGTACACACAGTGCACTCTCACAGTGCATACACACGTACACAGTACACACAGTGCACTCTCACAGTGCATACACACGTACACAGCACACACAGTGCACTCACTCACAGTGCATACACGCGTCACACAGCACACACAGTGCACTCACTCACAGTGATACACACTACACAGCACACACGTGCACCACCACAGTGCATACACCGTCACACATACACAGTTGCACTCACATCCAGTGCTACACCACCAGCTACACACAGTGCACTCACTCACAGTGCATACACACGTCACACAGCACACACAGTGCACTCACAGTGCATACACGACGTTCACACAGCACACACAGGGCAATCACTCACAGGGCATAACACACTCACACAGTCACACACAGGCACTCCTCACAGTGCATACACACGTACACAGCACACACAGTGCACTCACTCACGTGCAATCACACGTCATCACAGTACAACACAGTGCACTCACTCACAGTGCATACACACGTACACAGCACACACAGTGCACTCACTCACAGTGCATACACACGTACACAGTACACACAGTGCACTCTCACAGTGCATCACACGTCACACGCACACACAGTGCACTCACTCACAGGGCATACACGCGTCACACAGCACCACACAGTGCACTCACTCACAGTGCATACACACGTACACAGTACACACAGTGCCCTCTCACAGTGCATACACACGTCACACAGTACACACAGTGCACTCTCACAGTGCATACACACGTCACACAGCACACACCACAGTCGCACCTCACATCACAGTGCATACACACGTACACAGCACACACAGTGCACTCACTCACAGTGCATACACGCGTCACACAGTACACACAGTGCACTCACTCACAGTGCATACACACGTACACAGTACACACAGTGCACTCACTCACAGTGCATACACGCGTCACACAGCACACACAGTGCACTCTCACAGTGCATACACACGTCACACAGCACACACAGTGCACTCACTCACAGTGCATACACACGTACACAGCACACACAGTGCACTCACTCACAGTGCATACACACGTACACAGTACACACAGTGCACTCACTCACAGTGCATACACACGTACACAGTACACACAGTGCACTCACTCACAGTGCATACACACGTACACAGTACACACAGTGCACTCACTCACAGTGCATACACGCGTACACAGTACACACAGTGCACTCACTCACAGTGCATACACACGTCACACAGCACACACAGTGCACTCACTCACAGTGCATACACACGTCACACAGCACACACAGTGCACTCACTCACAGTGCATACACACGTCACACAGCACACACAGTGCACTCACTCACAGTGCATACACGCGTCACACAGCACACACAGTGCACTCACTCAGTGCATACACACGTACACAGTACACACAGTGCACTCACTCACAGTGCATACACACGTCACACAGTACACACAGTGCACTCACTCACAGTGCATACACACGTACACAGTACACACAGTGCACTCACTCACAGTGCATACACACGTACACAGTACACACAGTGCACTCTCACAGTGCATACACACGTCACACAGTACACACAGTGCACTCACTCACAGTGCATACACACGTCACACAGTACACACAGTGCACTCACTCACAGTGCATACACACGTCACACAGCACACACAGTGCACTCACAGTGCATACACGTACACAGTACACACAGTGCACTTGCAGTGCATATACTCGCACGGTACACATTCACTCAGTGCACACTCATGCACAGTGCATGCTCACACAGCACATTTACACAGTGCACACCCAGTGCATTTGCACTCACAGTGCACATACACACACAGTACACACTCATGGCACACTCACACCATATATTTACGCTGTGCACACACAGTGCATTTGCACTCAAGGTGCATATACACACACAGTACACACTCATGGCACACTCACACCATATATTGTCACTGTGCACACACAGTGCATTTGCACTCAAGGTGCATATACACACACAGTACACACTCATGTACACACTCACAGTGCACATTCACACTCTGCATTTCCACAGTGCACACACAGTGCATTCCCATGCACAGTACATATACACACGGTACACTCACACAGTACACACACTGTGCACAGTGCCCTCACACAGTGCACACTCACACTGCATTCACACACAGTGCACACTCACAGTGCATTCATACACAGTACACAGTGCACATGCACACACAGTGCACTTACAGTGTACGTGCACAGTGCATTCACAGTACACACACTGCACATGCACACACATTGCACAGTGTACTCACAGTGCACTCACACACAGTACACACAGTACACACACACAGTGCACTCACACACTGCACATGCACACTCACTGCACAGTGTACTCACACAGTGCACTCACACAGTACTCACACAGTACACACACACAACACACATGCACACTCACTGCACAGTGTACTCACACAGTACACACACAACACACATGCACACACACTGTGCAGTGTGCTCACAGTGCACACTCACACAGTGCACACTCACAACACCGCACATGCACACTCACTGCACAGTGTACACACACACCGCACATGCACACACATGTGGGTATTTCTACTTCTCTGGAGTCCAGTCTGGGGCACGGGGGCCATGGTGTAGAACGGGGGCTCTGCACTGGGCCCCTGCAAAGGGAGTGCCTACAGTAAAGTGCCCAGGGCTTTGGGGGGATTCCCCGTGTCACAGAGACCCACTCAAGCAGTGGGAGGCCGCATGGCCGAGCCTCAAGCTCTTACCAAGGGCAGGGTCTGGAGGCATGGGCGAGTTTTCCACATCATCTGCCTCGGAAGAGCCTCGAAGAGCTGAGGAGGGAGCCCACCTCCCAAGGCAGCCCAGCAGGCCATGGGGCAGCATGCAGTGAGCAGCAATGTCAGGACAGGCAGAAGACGCCCTGCCGTGGCTCCGCAGCCCACGTCCTTGGTCAAAGCCACTTCACTCACTCCCTGCTACAAACCCATGGAGGGCACGGGCAAGGAACACCTCTGGGTCTGAGAGCAGCCAACCCACAAGGACCTGCACTTCCGATGGGACAGACAGGAGACCCCTCCCCTCCCCAGTCAGGCCCACCCAGAGCTCGGCTCCACCTCTCCCTGCAGGCCTTCTAATTGAGCCCCACGCAGAGCCCCATGGCAGGAGCTCTACAGGACACACGCGATTGTCTGGGACGTCCACTGCAATGCAAGGGCCAGACCGGTCCCTCCCAAGGACACCGGGCCAGGCACAGAGGGCTTGCAGAGCTGACACTGACAAGTACCAAGTGCCATTACTACAGCCTAAGTCCTGCCTCTTCTTCCAGGGCTGTGCTGTCCCGGTGTGATGAAGCAGAAATCAGACACCTGCACTCAGAACGAAGACGCTCCATGAGCGCTGATGGAGTTTAGACAGCACAAACGCCCAAGTGCTCGGGCCCCTGCACCCACGTGGGAGACCTGGAAGAAGCTCCTGGCTCCTGGCTTCAGATCAGCCCAGCTCAGGAGTTTGTGGCCATTTGGAGAGTGAACCAGTGATGGAAGACCTTTCTCTCTGCCTCTCAAATAAATAAATAAAAATCTTTTTTTAAAAAGGTAATTTTATTTTAGTGCAAAAAAAAAATTGCGATCCAAGCATCTTCCCCATAATATGCATGTATCTATAAGCATTTTCGGTTTCGTTCGGTACCGAAATAAACTTGGCCTGTAACTGCACTCTCCAAGAGCTTCCCGAAGTCCGCGCGCACGAGGTTCACGCTGGCCCGCTGGGCGCCCAGCGCTGCTCTAGATCTTGGTCCCAGCGGGGCGGGACCGGGGCTTGAAGGAAAGGCACGGCTGCGGGTGGGGGGGCAGGAGGGCCCGGGCGCCCCCACCGGCCCCGGCGCGGTGCCCGTTCTCGTCTGGGACCCGGACCGCCCGCGTGCAGACGCCCTGCTCAGCACTGCCCAAGCCTGGAGCGGGACCAGCTCCTCCAGGGCCCAGTCCCACCCTATCCTGCCGGCCCAGGCACCCCGGGGCCCGCAAGCCTGCCCTGGGAGAACGCAGGGTCGCCTTCCCTTCCGCTTCAAAGCGACACCTCAGTAACCGCGCTGCAGCGGGAAGGGGGTAGGAAGACCCGCGGGGAGTCCAACGCGACCGCCCAGCCATCCGCGCACCGGCGGCCGATCTCCGCCTGCGGTCCCGCACTCGGTCCCGCAGCAGCCGGCGCCCCCATATCGGCTCCGCTCCCGGCAAACGCTCGGCCGCCGCCGCACCGCCGAGGAGCCGCGGGGAGCCGGGGTGGGCGGGGACCCCTCCCCAGCCCCGCCCCGCCGCCCGGCGCCGCCCCTCGCGGGTTTCCCAGGCTCCGCGCGGCGGCCACCGCGGGCGGCCGGGGACCCGCGCTGCATGTGTAATGGGGGCCGGGAACAAAGACGCGCGGCACCCGGCGCCCCGGACCTTCCGCCGCGGCGTCGATGTCCGGCAGCCCGCGGGGGAGCGCCTCCCGCAACGCCCGCCCGGGTCCGCTCGCCCGGCACCCCCGGGGGCGGGAAACCAGTGCGGCGGCCTTGCGGGGAAGGCGCGTTCCGGCGGGACCCCGCGTGTGTACACCCACCTGCACCCACACACCCCCGCCGCCGCCGCCACGTGCCTCCCGCAGGCCCGAGCCACAGGGACCTGTTAGCGCGCCGTCCCCAGCTCCCCAGACCCCGGTGCCCAGAACAAAGCGGTGCGCGGCGCGCGCAGGTAGGAGGCAGCGCCAGGGCTCGCCGCGCAGCAAGCCGAGGCGGAGCGGGAGGCGTGCAGGGGGCTCCCGCCCCGGGCGGCCGCCCCGACCCGACGGGCCCGCAGCTGCCCGGCCGCACGGCCGCACGCACAGCAGCAGCGCGCGGGCGCCCGGTCCCCGCCCGGGAGGTGCGAGCGAGCGGCGCACAGGTGGCGCGGGCCGAGGCCGCGGCCCGCCCTTTGTTGGTAAACAGCGCGCCCCCCGCGCCCCCGCGCCGCGCCCCGCGCCCCGCGCTTACCCGCGCACAGCGATCCCCAGAGGAGGGCGAGGGCCGCCCAGGGCGCCGTCATGTTCCGCGGCGCCGCCCCGCGGACACCCGGAGCCCGCGGGCAGGGGCGCGCGGGGCCGGGCAACAGCTGCGCTCGCCTTCCCGCGCCTGCCGGCGGCTTCGTCCCCGGGCGGCGTGCGGGCTCCAAGCGCCGGGCTCAGGGCCGCTGCGGGCGGCGGAGGCTGCGGCCCGGGCTCCGGAGCGACGCGGGGGCCGGGGGGCGGCGGCGGGGCGCGGGCCGGGGCGCGCCCGACGCGGGCATAGCGCAGCGGGGCTGGGCCCGGGCCCCCGGCGCAGGGGCCGAGTCCGGAGGGGCCATGAACGGGGGGAGGGGCGGGGGGGGGAGGGGAGCTGAACCGAGTCCAAAATGGCTCCTGAGCGGCGGCCACGGAGCCGAGCCAGCGGGGAAACCCGGATGTTGGATACAAAGAGGCGGGCGCGCGGGGAGGGGGCGGGGAGGCGGGCCCGAGGGCCGCGTGGGCCGCGCCCCCTCGGGGGCGGGGCCCGGGGCGCCACCGAGCGCAGGCCACGCCCCCGCCCGGGCGGACCCGCGCGGCGGGGAGTGAGCCGGGGCCCGCGTGGGTCACTGCGCCTGGGCTTCCCGGCTCGGCGAGCCCGGGCGCGCGGTCGCCGGACACCTGTCGTCTTCCGCACCTGCTCCCGCCACCCCAGGACGGCCGTGTGGTTACCGACAGGCCAGTGCGTCGGAGTGGAGCGCGCCCGGTGTCTGCACACGGGCACAGCGGGAGGTCCTGAGGAGCTGTCACTTGACGCGTCCAAGCAGTGCGACAGGGAGTGGCACCCTGGGGTCTGAGTTCACCCGAGCTTCAGTCTCCCCGCGTGGGAAAGGCTAGACCCCTCGAAGGGCTCAGGTAGAGACCTGTGCTCGCGCTGGGAGGTATCAACAGAAGCTGCATCGGCCGCCTCCTCTCTGCTCGTGCCCGCCAGGCCGGCCATCACAGTAAGGGCCAGGGCCGTCCCAGGTGCCTGCACACCTGTGTCGTCCACCCTGGGCTTTCTGGGAGCCCCAAGTTTGGCAGCCCCTGGAAGCTGGTCTTCCCAACACAGAATTCCCCGTAGCTCTCCTCCCTCTCTCGCCCCTGTCTGATGTGTGCTGTAAGCCGCGTCTCCGATGGCTCAAAGCAAAACTTTCTATGAGTCATTCTTGATTTATCCCACGTCCAGTCCCTCAGCAAAGAGAACCAGCCACCAAAGGCAGAAGGAGCTGAGAGACCACGTTCAAAAACAAAAGCAAAGAGGAAGACAAATCCAGAAGTAAACGGCGTGATGTGTCAGGGACTTAGACAAGAGCGTGCCGGGCAGCTGCAAGATAGGGCTCTCTAGATGAGGTGGGAAACTAGAACGTGCCTGGGCTCCCTCAGAAACCTGGAGAATCGACCGGCACCGCGGCTCACTAGGCTAATCCTCCACCTAGCGGCGCCGGCACACCGGGTTCTAGTCCCGGTCGGGGCGCCGGATTCTGTCCCGGTTGCCCCTCTTCCAGGCCAGCTCTCTGCTGTGGCCAGGGAGTGCAGTGGAGGATGGCCCAGGTGCTTGGGCCCTGCACCCCATGGGAGACCAGGAGAAGTACCTGGATCCTGGCTCCTGCCATCGGATCAGCATGGTGCGCCGGCTGCAGCGGCGGCCATTGGAGGGTGAACCAACGGCAAAGGAAGACCTTTCTCTCTCTCTCTCTCTCTCTCTCTCTCTCTCTCTCACTGTCCACTCTGCCTGTCAAAAAAAAAAAAAAAGAAACCTGGAGAATCGTGGAGGTGCTGAGAGACACGGTGGCGGGTTAGGGACAACATAGCTTATCTCCCAGGGTTGGCGATTACGGCAGGGTTGCCCAGAGGGCAAGATGGTGGTCATCACCCAGACACAGCAAGCTGGATTCCCACACCACCGTCTGGCCACTTCTCCCCAAATGCTGCCCACGCCCACCACCATGGCAGCAACCCGGAGAGGACCCTCACTGGTCACCTCAACCCAGCAACTGAAAGGAATGTGGTCTAGGCAGAACTCACACCCCCTTAGGTGGGGGTGCACCTGCTGTGGTTTCGGTTACTGTGGAACAATGGTCCAAAAATATTAACCAGAAATAACTCACAGGTGTCAACGTGGGTGTCATCCGAGTTGTGTGATGAACTCAGGCAGTGCCGCTCCATCCATCCTGGACCCGAGTCATCCATGTGAGGCACAGGCACGCGGTGCGGGCTCCCTGCCCGGCGGTCACACAGACCTTAGCACGCCCAGTGCTTGCCGGAGTTCACAACAGCCCCAAAGCACAGGCACAGGGACGGCAGTGATTCAGATAAACCGGAGAGAAGCCATGAGCTGCTTCCTTTAAGGGAGGTGAGCGTTCTAGACTTAAGAAGAAAGTCATGGGCCGGTGCTGCGGCTCACTAGGCTAATCCTCCACCTGCGGCACCAGCACACCAGGTTCTAGTCCCGGTTGGGGCGCCGGGTTCTGTCCCGGTTGCCCCTCTTCCAGGCCAGCTCTCTGCTGTGGCCAGGGAGTGCAGTGGAGGATGGTCCAAGTGCTTGGGCCCTGCACCCCATGGGAGACCAGGAAAAGCACCTGGCTCCTGCCTTCGGATCAGTGCGGTGCGCCGGCCGTAGTGGCCATTTTGGGGGTGAACCAACGGAAAAGGAAGCCCTTTCTCTCTCTCTCTCTCTCTCTCTCTCTCACTGTCTACTCTGCCTGTCAAAAAAAAAAAAAAAAAAAAGAAGGAGAAGAAGAAAGTCACATGTGGGGAGTGCTAGAATCCGCAGGAGAACGAATCCTTCATCTGTGAATTTGAGGAGGAAAAAGCAAGCCGCACTCCCTCTGCAACACCGCGGACATCACGCACGGCTGCTGTGTGATGAGTGGATACGTGGAAGCTGCCATCCGCGGGGTCCCCTCAGCGTTCCTCCTTGCCTGGACCGCCGCCCCAGCAGGGTGGGGGGCTTCTTCTTAGGTCAGCTCCATCCGCGCCCGCTGGCCTCGCGTCTCCCATCCCCAGCCGCTCGCCCTGGCCTGCTTCTCCCTCCTGCTGCTGCAGTACCCCTCCCCCACTTCTGGAGAGCCAAGTCTGTTGGAGTGAACTGGGGGGGGGGGGGGGCTCTGCCCCGGCCGCCGTGTTGTTCATGAGCCCCTCGCACACACGAGACCGATACAAACATCCAAGCTGCCCCCACGAGGAAGCTGAGGGCGGTGAGTTCCACCACTAAGGCACTCCCACCCCAGTCTCCCGTCCTCAACAACCAAGCTGAGAAACAGGGACTGGGAGAGTGAGATGAACGCCACGGCCGTCCTATCAAGCTGTTGGAGGGAGATGGGAGACCTCAGCGTCGTAAGGCTCGGCGTCCGTAAAACCGTAGTGCACTTCCACGTGGGGTCGGACGCACTAACCTGGCAAGGCACACTCTACCTGGACTTCCTCGCGTCGGCCCCAGCCTCTCACCTTCTGAGAGGCTGTACAGATGCGGGGGGGGGGGGGGGGGTTGGCTATAGCAGACTCATACTGAACTCATCTCCAGGGTGGGGGGCGGGAGTGGAGCATGGCTCCTTCAGCAATGCAGTTCCCCAGAATGTCCTGAGTGTGGAAGGCGGCCCGGGCCTGGGAGGCAAAGGGAGCCCTCAGCACCCCAGCTCTGCCTGGAGATGCGCGTCACCCGGAAAACGCGCCCCAAGAGGGGAACCCTGCAGTCGCAGTGTGCTGCTTGGATCGCAGTCTGCATGCGCCCTTGCAGCCCAGGGCAGCCGGCCCCTGAGAAGGGGCTGCTGCTGCAGGACCCCCGCAGGTTCCGGTCCGTGTGGCAGCCGCCGCCCCTGCCTGCTCCCTTGGGTGTGTTCCCCAAGTCTGCACTGCCGAGCTCTTTTCTGGTCGCCAGTGCCGGCCTGTGGCCGGGAGCCATCTGTTTGTTCTGAGACATAGTTCTCAACTGCTTTTCCTTCTCTTCCTGGGCCCTGTGCTTTTCCCCCACCCCCTCTGACCTTGAGATCACCCAGACGAATCACCTGCGGTAGACAGGGAACACGAGGGGCCAGTGCTCAGAGCCAGCATCCCATGTGGACACTGGTTCGAGTCCCGGCTGCTCCTCTTCCAATCCAGCTCTCTGCTGTGGCCTGGGAAAGCAGTGGAGGATGGCCCGAGTGCTTGGGCCCTGCACCCACATGGGAGGCCAGGAAGAAGCTCCTGGCTCCTGGCTTCGGATCGGCACAGCTCCAGCCATTGTGGCCATCTGGGGAGTGAACCAGCAGATGGAAGATTCTCTCTCTCTCTCTCCCTCCCTCCCTCCCTCTCTGCCTCTGCCTCTGCCTCTCTGTTGTTCTACCTTTCAAATAAATAAAGAAATCGTAAAAGAAAAGAGAACACTGGCTCTCCAGGGAGGGTAGGTCAGGCTGTGAGAACGGGAAATCACAAAACCTGAAGGGCTTGAAACAACAGAATGCATTTTTCACTCAGGTTCCCTGCCCACCGGGGGACCCAAAGCAAGTTCTGCTCATGGTATACCCAACTAATAGAGGATGCATTTAAAAATATGTTTATTTGGGCCGGTGCTGTGGCTCACTAGACTAATCCTCCGCCTTGCGGCGCCGGCACACCAGGTTCTAGTCCCGGTCGGGGCGCCGGATTCTGTCCTGGTTGCCCCTCTTCCAGGCCAGCTCTCTGCTGTGGCCCGGGAGTGCAGTGGAGGATGGCCCAAGTGCTTGGGCCCTGCACCCCATGGGAGACCAGGAGAAGCACCTGGCTCCTGGCTTCAGATCAGTGCAGCGGCCATTGGAGAGTGAACCAACGGAAAAGGAAGACCTTTCTCTCTGTCTCTCTCTCTCTCTCACTGTCCACTCTGCCTGTCAAAAATTAAATAAAATAAATTAATTTTAAAAATATGTTTACTTATTTGAAACAGCAACAGGGAGAGGGTAGGAGAGAGAGATCTTCCCCCACCAGTTCACACCCTAAATAACTGCAACAGCCAGATTTGGGCTAGGCCGAAGCCAGGAGCCAAGACCTCCATCCAGGTCTCCCATGCGGGTGCAGAGCCCAAGCACTTGGGCCATCCTCCACTGCTTTCCCAGATGCATCAGCAGGGAGCTGGATCAGAAGAGGAGCAGCCCAGATAACACGAGTGTTGCAAGCTTCGGCTTAACGCCTTGT